TGGGGAGCTTGTTCTTGGAGTAATTTGTTCCATTTCTTCTTTATATGTAGGATGAATGCTGTAGACAGTTTTTTGTAGTCTCTTTGTATCCACTGTATATTGTCAGGGAACATGCATGAATTTCTATCTTTTAAGTTGTTGTAGTGTATGACGATTTCCTTCTTGAGTTGGTCTCTTTTGGAGTAGAGTAGGTGAAGTAGATGATTTCTAATTTTCTCTAGTTCTTCTGCATAGCTGTGCAGCATATTTGGAGTTGTGTGTAGTAGTCAGGGGACTGTAGATGTTTAGTCCTCGGGGAATGAAGTTGTGTTTCTTGCAAAGGCTTAGAAAATATATGTCGCTGTTGAGTCTGGCTTCTTTCTTTTTCATGTTGTACAGTTTCCATTTCAGACGGCTGAATTCGATATCTTCCATGTTGCAGGGGTTTAGGTTGTAGCTGTGTGTGATTAGGACACGCATCTGAGAACTGAAAGACCTTTGCTTAATGGTCTGAACACAGCAGAGAAATTTGAACCTGGGCCTTTTGCATAGGACACCATAATTAGTCAACCAAACAAGGAGTAACTCAAGCTTGTGAAATTAAAAAGCATGTAGTCCTTCCAATTTTCTATTAGTTTTTGCCTCTGTGCCACTTGGGGCAGAATGGCAAAAATGCCTCTCTGCCTTCCTAGAGGCTAGCTTCTGTACAGAGCATTCAAGACCAAAGCAAGCAGGAAGGAAGCAGAAAATGGAGCACAGGGTTACCACTACCTCCTCCCTGCTCATAGAAATTAAAAAAGTGGAAACATTTTGGCTATTTACATTGGGTATCAAAAACTCTGGAGTAAGGAGTAAAATACAAAAGATATTGTGGTTTCACAATACTACTTACTAGGGACCACTGTAGACCTTTGTGGTAAGCTGGAATTTTTTTAGCTTGCACTGTAGCCATTTTAATAGGCCTTAGGTTGTTTTTAAGTTTATATTGGGCCCAGTTAGCATAAGTGAGTTTAAGGGAAGTCATTAAAAGTAACTAAGTCACAGGAGAGAACATTCTAGGAAAGGTTTGGTCAATTTTAGGACACCTAGGCACCCAGAAGATATTCATTTAAAGCTGTGATGGGATCTGATGCCCAATCCCAACAACTGAACCTCTTGCCACACCACATATTGGTAGCAGGGCACATGATTTTGGGACGGGTGATCAGATGCCAATTGTGCTAGTGTCAAGGGAGTCTGCAGGGCTATCCCTGGACACAGTTGACTATCAGCTGATTGTCAGCCTACTGGGGACTGCACCAGGGCTGGCTCGACCCCAGAGTGGCCCTGGATCCAGGCAGCCAGAGCTGCTCTGTGCAGGGTTTAAAGTCCTCTGTGGGGTAAGCCCTTCCCTTTGGAATGGAGATACAGGATACAATGTCTAGATCGGAATAGAATTTGTAGCCAGTCTTTACTGATGTCTTTTTCCCTGATTCTTACCATTCTGCTGATAAAATTTGCATGATGCAAACATGGGCAATGATTGTGTATTTATTTCCAAGTATTTTACCAATAAAAACTTGATTGGCACTGGTCTTAGTACTATTGCCTGTGAAACCCCACTAAAATCATCCTCACTGAACAATAAGTCCCTATTGATCACAATTTATTCAGACCTTTCAGTTAAAAGTGTGCTTAGTTAATACTGTGTGGGGTTAATTTTACAAATGAATGTTGTACAGTGACTTACTAGTCAAAAGGCTTGCAAAGCTCTAAGTATTTTACAGTTATGTTATGCTGTTATCAAACTTCATAAAGTTTAAGCTCTTTCAGAAAGCTCAAGTCCGCAGGGGTGAAGATAATGAAATCATTGCCTATAATTTCTTGACTGCTTTCCAAACTTCAAGCTAAGTCTGCAGCTCTATACACTATTTTAAAGCACTTACTTCCAGTAGCAGACACCTTTCCCAGGTCATTCTAAACAGCATGTAACCATCTGGAAACACTATAGTTGCACCTCCTTAATGTTTCCCACTGAATCAACCATACCTGTACAAAGACTGGGTTTTCACTTTATTTAGAAAGCTGATGAAAGTAAACACAAAAATATTAGTTGCAATTGCAGCAGCTGCACCTTCTCTCCAAAAAAGAAAAAAAAAATTACCCTGCAATTCCACAGGTCAGAACAAATCAGCTAGTTTGTCCACACTGTCTGCTGCAATAGCCTCTTGGCTGCAGCTTTTCTACTGAATAATGTTGAGCTACAGAAAATTATTTTTTCTTTCTAAATAGTCCAAAGCTTTTACAATGCAGCAAGTTCTACCACCATAAAGTTTTAAACAGATAATGATCCTGTCTGATGTTTTTTTATTTAACCAAATCATTTCAATAACCTCTCAGCATTATCCAGCTTTTGCCATTATTCAGTATACATTAAAACCATACTTGCTCATCTGACAGTTTTTCTGCACTGTATTTTACGAACTTGCCTTTTGTAACAAGACAATATATCCTAATTTTAAGCAAACTGCATAGTGTCATTTTGGGAATTATAATAATCAGTTCAGTTTTCAGCTGAGTCCTAATCTATTTCTAGTGGCTAGTCTACAACAAACAATGTGAGTGACTTATAGCAACTACAGAAATGCTGTATATCAGCATTGCCTTTTTATAGGCAAAACAATTAAAAAAAACCAGCATTGAGAAGCATGAAATTCATTTACTCAGATATGAATATTTATAATGACAGTAGATCAAGTACATTAACTCCTTATAGTTTTACTATGAATGTCCCTCACAGAAAACTCAGATTTCTTACTACTGCCTCCATGGTATCCCAGATTATCTTCACTACCTGGCCAAGGAAAATTCAAGCAGTAAAAGATTCATAGATTCATAGATGTTAGGGTCGGAAGGGACCTCAATAGATCATCGAGTCCGACCCCCTGCATAGGCAGGAAAGAGTGCTGGGTCTCGATGACCCCAGCTAGATACTCATCTAACCTCCTCTTGAAGACCCCCAGGGTAGGGGAGAGCACCACCTCCCTTGGGAGCCCGTTCCAGACCTTGGCCACTCTAACTGTGAAGAAGTTCTTCCTAATGTCCAGTCTAAATCTGCTCTCTGCAAGCTTGTGGCCCTTACAAAAAGTGGGAAAGTCATCCCTTTTTAGAATTAGGGACAAAGATGCCCTTGTTGTAATTTTTTTTAATGAATGGTAAAAATGATAAGCCCTTTAGGTCAAAACACAATGGGAAGCCATTAACACTGGATGAAATGCCACAGAAACTGAACAGAATTCTACCTAGTTACCCCTATTATCAGATGTAGTTTCTAGTTAGCCATTTACTTAGAGGATGCACATTTTAAATGTAACGTGTCACAATAATATAGTCAACATTTAAACAATATTAGGACACGAACAACGAGTTAGTGTGGGGTAAGACATGGTAGAAACAAGAAACGTGTCCTCACTTTAACACCTCCAACACAACTGGAAAATGCCCTTGAATCAGCAGTAAAAAAAAAAATATCAGACAAAATTCATAAAACTGCCACCCCCACCTCCATAATACAATGAAAAGATGGACCAGAAGTTGATGAATGTATGAGTAATTGCACATTGCCTTAAATAAGCCATTTCAGATGAGTCCATGACAGGTTTAAGTCCACGTGTTGTATGAACAGCTTCATGTTAGTGCACGATGGAGATGCATGTAACGGCTACACCGGCTGCGAGGACCTCGGGGGGAACCAGCGTCGCTCCGGCCGTCACTCATGGGAAACACGGTCCAAGGCGACGTAGAAGCTCTTCTTGTCGTCCAGGCAGTCCCAGCCGATGGGCCCGATCTCACAGTCCGCACAGATAAGGAACTTGATGTTTCCAACGTCCTTCGTGAAGCCGATATTCTCAAAGGAAAACATGTCATCCACCAGCCAGTGGTCCTGCAGCACGTCCCCGTCGGGGGAGACGCTCTCAGCCAGGGCCGTCTTCTTCTTCATGGAAGGGAGGAAAAGCTGCCGGACAAGGACAAGTAAAGCGCGGGTCAGACAGTCACCGCCACTGCGGCGCTGCTCCCCGTTAGAGCAGCGGTTCTCAGCCCGTTTGGCAACCGCGGGCACCCGTAACTTCTCTGCACACGATGACACCCCGTTTCCACACCGCACGGATCCAGGGGGCGTGTCAGCTAGTCTCCTCACAACTAGGGGCGCCCTCCCCTCGAGTCTTCTTCCGGGGCACCGGGGGGGGGCACGTACCTGCCTGCGAGCCAAGGGGGCGGAGGCGGG